TATATATATATATATATATATAATATATATATTATCTGTCCCGGCACTTCCTATCACGCTGATTCTGGCCAGTATCATCCTTTATTCTTCTTCCTGGTAAGCTGGATGTGTTTAGTACGTACTTCAGTTAGTTGTTGATGACATCTCAACTTTGCTCCGGTCGGCTGTCGGAACATGATTGCAAGACTGTTGTAAGTTGATTTTCATCCTGTAATTTGCATTTGTATTATAATATATAAAAAAGGTGCCACCCTGTTTGTTCGATTGGTTAGCCTTTCCTATGGTAAAAGAATGATTTCTTCGACTACGAAACCGAAATATGAAGTATTTGACAGACAAATCAAGGTGAAAGGATTATTTTTCAGTAAAAACGTCTCTTTTGTGAATGAAATTTGACAACAGGGGTAAAATCCAAATGTCACACATCAGTACGCCGTGTGGTCTCCATGTGCATTCAACCCATCAATGCATCTCCTGCACTTAGCGTGCACACGTCGTCCTACAAAATGCTGTTTCAGGCATTGGTGAGGGCTTGCTGCAGCTGTTAAATGGTTCTGGAACCGCAATTCACATTACGAGCAACACGCCATTTAAGCCTGTCTCACAGATGCTCAGTTGGGTTCAAATCTGGAAAAAGAGCAGGCCGAGTATCCATTACAGCGACAGCATTCTGGGGTTTCTTAGATTTAATTCCGAGTGGAGTGCCCGATGCGCGGGCGCATTATTCTGTTGGAATGTCATGAGTCGATCATTTTGTTGAAGAAATGGCAGATAGTGCTCATGTGGGCTCCTGTACCTTTTTATATTCCCATCGTGGCGTTCAAATCGGAATTGAGATTTATCCGAGAAGGGGAAGGTGTCCCACTACACTTGGCCTATCGGCGGTGTAGCTGTAACCAGCAACCATTTCATTGATAAATTAATCAACCATGCCTGAAGGTGTCATGGTCGTAAACGCAGTCTGTGTGTTGGCATCCTAACTATAATCTTGAATTCTTTCAGTCTACAATGAACAGTAGGCTGGCAGACGAGTAAAAATCCAGGAAATTTTATTGCGGTTTGAGCAGCTGTCCTTAAACGATTTCTCATATTATGCACTATCCTGAAATTATCGGTCCAGGGCTGGCATTATTACCCCTGGACAACCAGTTCTGGGTCGGTCGTTACAATAGGACAAACCACAATGTAGATCTACTGTTCCCCTCAGTAAACTGATAGTCCATCTACTGACATTGATTGTCGCAACAGCAGCCAAGGAGCTTACCTTGACAGCAGCGCTGAGCACACCAATGGCTTAGTTTTTTATCTTGAATTAAAGGTACTATTTATTTATTTTATTTTATTTTTTGTTGCTTTGTTTGTTGTTGGGTTTTTTGGGACAATGATCAATTAATGTTGATGAGATTTTAATTAAACATAGACCTAGTCTTTATAAATAACAAAATATATGGAAGAAATTTACTCTGTGGTCGGGGACAAAATCCAAGTTTTCTGTTTTTCACACCCGTGGTTTCAACACTAATTGAAACAACAAAATTTTATTTTTTATAACATCACCTACTTTTCAGAGTACTTAGTACTACTCACGTGAAAGGTATCGCGTACAGACTCAAAAGACGAGATTTTATACACAATCCAAAAGTGGTATCTTTCTCTAGATCACAAGCATATTTCACAATAAAATACATTTTATGTTTTCAACTCTTCTTTCAACAACAAAATTGCCAGACCGATAAAGTTAGACAAAGTCGCCTTATGCTGTGTTCAAAAGCTGTTCATTATTGTCACTTCGACAATGATTATAGCGTGGTGAAAAATATTTAATAATAAATTTTGTTTTAGAGGGTTGTTTTTGTTTTGTTTGTTTTTATGTGTGTGGGGGTTTTTTGGTTGGGGGAGGGCTGGGATTGTTGGGTTGTGTGTGTGTGTGTGTGTGTGTGTGTGTGTGTGTGTGTGTGTGTGTGTGTGTGTGTGCGTGTGTTTGCTTGTATGTTTGTTTGTTTGTTTTTGGAGGGATTGCTTGTATGTTTGTTTTTGTTTGTTTGTTTAATAGATCAGATTCTTTTTTACTTCTCGTACATAATATTTTGCCTGAGTGCAGCTGTTATTCAATGCAAAATCCTACCCAAACGACATCGTCAGGCTAAAAGTGTGTGAACACGTTAAAGAATTAAAACGAGTAACAGCTTGGGTCTTTCTCAAAGGACTCCATATTTGTTTGGCGATTATGTTGTGTCGCGGAAAGGCCTCAGATTTTATTAAAGAATATTGTTAGCTCTCAAACCATATGGGGGGGGGGTGTAACTCTCGAGTTTGTCGGGTGCCAGTTATGCACTATTTTCTGTCCGTTGAAAGAATGACGAGTTTCCTCCGTACTCGCCAGTCTTCTGTCAAGCTTCTATTTCTAATCAATCAGTTTTTAAAGTTACTGGATGGTTTAAAAAACGCACAGATTTCCCAGTGAGAAGTGGGTTGTTGGGTTGTTGTTTTTATTGACCCATGTACGCTAATTGTAATAGTGGGGCGCACTACTCGAACTAACACAAAAGGTGTGACGGATTATCATGACTCTGAAAGGAACAATTACATTGTTGATATCAAAGTAGCTTCATATGCTATGTGTTTGTTTTAGTTTTAGTTTTATTTTGCTTTGTTTTCCTTTGTTTTATATTCTAATTGAAGGCGGGTTGCTACTGTGCCGGAACTTTAGGGTAGATTTTTAGTTGTTAAAATATGTTTTCCTTGCACGTGAGGCGTTTTTCTGGAGGGGGGGGGGGGGTTGTGTATGTGAGCATGTATTCTTTTTTTCTGAAGTTGATTTGTATAGGGTGTCTAAAGAAAAGAGGACCCACTTAAATGGGAATAACTCGGTCATTAGTGCACTATAAATTTTAGGAAAAACTTCGAACAAATAAAATTCAAGGAGGGGGGAATCAAGTTTGGGAATATGAAAAGAATCCTTCAAAGCCTTCGTGAAATACCTTCTTTTTTTAAATTTCAACCAAATTTGAGTAAAAAGCAGAATTCCACATTTTTGAAAACGTTCAGCTACAGGGGCGTGATCGACCCGTTCTGGTTTCAAGACCAGGACGATAACACCACACAGTCACACCAGATGCATAACTATATCTCACCGTGCTGAGACCGTTTTGGGGTAATTTGGGGAGGAGAAAGTGATAATATGCTATAGAGGCCGGGTTCCAGTGGGATGGGGCTACACCCTATATTATGTCTAGAGCGGTCCTTATGGTTGCAAGAAAGGGTTGGGGAACACCTTATAAGCCGAACGCTTACAAAATATGAATGGTCATTAAATTATTCTTTGGGGTTACTTTAACAGAGTCTACGGAAACATGCAACAAGCGACTGAACAGCTGAAATTAAATGTTGAATAGAACGTCTTAAGAATCAACCCCAAAACATGCCATGGGGTTTTTCGAACTTTCCAGTTCCGTATTTGAGCTTGTAGGGTCAACCCTTGGAGATTTGAATAATCATCACCTCCCTGGGTTTATTTGGCAATGTAATTGTTTGCATAATTTTGTTTTGTAAATGGTGACTATTTGGAAAAGATCAGTATGGTTAATTATTAAGAAGTTCCTAAGTTTTGCGTTTCACTCAATTTTGGATGAAATTGTAAAAAAAATAATAATAATTTCTCTCGAACACGGTGCTTGATTTGTTTTATCTTGACAAGTTTAATGTCCCCTAGTGGAATTTCCTTTCTCCAAGGTTTCATCGAAATTGTTCTAAAGATAACCAAGTCATTGCCCTTTAAATGGGTCCTCTTTTTTAAACACCCGGCATTTAGAGTCTTGTATGTTTTGTTTGGGGGTTTTTCTCCTTGGGGGAGGGAGGGGGCAACTCAATTTTGTTTCGTTGTTTGCCCTCTCCAATAGCCATAAAGATAGGATTAGGTATGATAAAACAATATGTGACAGGATAGCCATATACTTAATCGTTTCTTCTTTTTTTTTTTTTCAATAGTGTCCTTTCCCAGCTTTTGTGACACAGAAGTATTGAATATTTATACATAGCAACATACCAGCATGAATATTATTGTCACATTCTATCTCTCTGTCTCTCTTCTCTCTGTCTCTCTTCTCTCTGTCTTTCTCTCACTCTCTTTATCTCTCTCTTTTTCTTTCATTCTCTCCCTCTCCCCATCTCTCTCTCTCCTCATCGTTCTCTCCCCATCTCTCTCTCTCTCTCTCTCTAATTCTCTCTCTCTCTCTCTCTCTCTGCACGTGCTCAAAATAAATGCTATTGGTAGATTATCCCGAGACCACGTTTCACGTTCCGTCTGCAACTTTTTCTTCAGATGACCTGCACACATGCACAGTTCCCCAACTGATGTGAAACGAGTGGAAAGCAACTATTGTTCAACATCTGCACGTACATCTGGCTGTACCATGGGCGGGCATCAGACATGCACTACAGCTTTGGGTTGGTGCTTTTGTGTTTGTTTTATTTTTGTTTTCTGATTTCGGTATCGGGGTGAGAGGAAGGAGGGAGGGGGGGGGTGAGTAGTAGGCCAAAAATCGTGTTAACCTTAATTCTCCTTGTAAATATTTAATCGCTTTTTTATGAACATTTTCAATTTATTATCAAAGTTTTCTGCCCACCCAAGTCATTTTGCGGTCAAGAGTGATCTGTTTAATATTTGGGTATCCTTATACTCACGTGCAGAACTGGTATAAATCCCGAGACGGGGTGGTTTGGGCGGAAAATATCAGGGTCGATCCAGGCCATGTGGGAAATTTCGTCCCCGAAAAATGACGGAGATACTGATCGTGGCTCTTGGGAGTACAGTTGTAGAACTAACATTCTTTTTTTTTCTTTTTGCAAACACAGCAAAGATTAGTCAGCAGGTTCAGTACAGAATTCATAATAGGTAATATGGGGTGTGGAGGGGGGTACGATGTATATTTTATATATCAGTCGAGTTTAGGGCGACTCAATACTTCATTTATTGTTTAAGAACTTGTTCTTATACAAAGCGTTGTCTGTCTACTGCACGATGTAGCCTCCAACAATGACCTTCACGTTATTTTATCCCCTGTTCTCCGTATCCAGGTCGTTCCCTTTCGATTTCTGATGTCATCTTGCTTAGCACCTTCGTTCTGGTCGTTTTCTGAATCGTTTTTCTGTTCTTGGTCTCCATTCAGTGCACTTTCCTGTCCATCTGTTATCTTTAATTCTACCTTTGTGACCAGCCCATTTCCGTTTTTGTTGGACTACAAATTTAAGGATATCTGCCGCTTCTATTTTCTTTCAAATTTGTGTGTGCTTTATTTGATATTTTATTGTTATACAGCACCTTCCTTTTCACTGCTCTTTGTGTTTTCCTTAATTTCTTTATGCTATTTCTGGTTATTGGTCAGGTTCAGCACTCACAGCTTATCACTGGGACAAGGTACTGATTAAAAACTTCTCCATGTTAGAGATGCCGGTAGTTTTTAATTTTTAAAAATATCATTTACCTATATCTTTTTAATCAGCTCGTATCCGTATGTTTCATTGTTCTCTCCTCCATACTTATTGTTTAGCCCAGGTATTTATATTCTGTCACTGTTTCAATGTTCTTGTTCTCTATAGCAACCGTTTTATCGTTAGTTTAGTTCTTGATGCATCTGGTTTTGTCTTTGTGGATTTTTAAGGCCCACTGTGTTGCTCACTTTGTTTATGACGTTGAGGTTCATTTCTGTTTGTTTTCAGTCCAAAGTGTCACATCATCAGTAAATCCGAGAACCTCTAGGCTTTCTCCATGTATTGAATTTCCTTAACTGAGCGATGCTGTTTTGAATATTTCTTTGATTGCTGCTGTGAATTTTAAGAATCTGTGGCTACCAAACAATTGGCCTTGTGGCTGCTGAACTGACTGTTCTGTCCGTGGAGTGCAGGGTTTATTGTCTATAGCCTGAATAACGTCTAATTCATTATTTTTTGTTACTTAAAGTGTACATTCATATCTATGTTCCATTCCAAAGCGACATTTTACATGGTCTTTCTTGCTTTTTTCCCCAGTTTTGTGCTTTATGACCTGTGGTCACATGACGATGAGCAAGCCCGTGGGTAGTACACGAAGTAGTGACCAACTGTTTCCAAACAACATCGAATCTTTTGCTTTTCAACATCAATCAGCTACTTCAGCTTCACAACTTTCACAAAATTACCGCAGACTTTCGCCTGGAAGAGATACTCGAGTAACAGACAGTGAGAAAGTAAGAAGGTATGCCTGGAGACGTTTGAATAGACCCATTACACGGGACCTTACAGCTGCCCAATCCAATACGCACGCCTTACTCTTCCCAAAATCTCCTCGACAAGTTAGAAAACACCCAGAGAACGTCCAGCGTAGCTTTCCTACTTCGTCAGATAAGAATATACGAGAATCGTATCGTAAATCTGACGTTGTTGGTCATAAGAATAAAACTGGAGCTAGTAGGCCAGCTCAGTTTGGACAGTTTGAGAGAGGTGTGAGGTGGCATGGATCACATCACGGAGACAGAAAAATGCTACATATTTTGAATGACAGTGAAACTCTGTGTTGCGTTTACTCGGATTCGGGCCATGCACCTCTGTCGTCTGAACTTAGACAAAGGGATAAATCTGACCTGCTCGTTAAAAACGTTAAAAACGTCTCTTCTAAACAATCTTATAGGGACTACACGAAAGCAGGGAACAAAAATGCATGGCTCGGTGCATTCCAATACAAAAGAAAACATCTACGCCTCAAAAGAAACCTCGAAACTCTTGAATTTCAGACAGCAACGTTCCAAAGCGGGCAAGGTTTCAGCTCCATAACTGACACTCATCTTGGTGAAACTAACAAGAAAGGAAAAGTATATATAAGTAAAGTGCGTGATAAAAAAGGGAAAAGACTCGGTAAAGTGTCGAGAAGACATCGCAGGTCCGAGTCAAGCATTCCTCTATTGAACAATAACGACGTGTCCGTGACTGATGAAGCGGAAATTCAAGATTCGTTTGCGCATGAGCCAGAGGAAGGGGACCCCGATATTGATCAGCCGTTCCCCGACATGACGTCAGACCATTCCCCAGGCATGCACCTTCATGATGGTGTCGATGCCGATCCATCAGACCCATCCGATCCATCCGACTACAGCGAACAAGACACTCCATCCAACAACCTGCCGCTCACTGATAACTATGGGTCTCATCTCACTGCAGGGGTTGGCCAACCTATCGGTTCTAACCACCCCCACGACACAGATGGCGCGGTTGACATATATAGTGGGGAGAACCTGCCTTATATTCCTGCGTTCGGTGACAACAACACAGCGGCGGCAGAAGGTGAGCAGAATTATCCTGGCACCATCAACACGGGTGACGGGGTTATCACAGCTGACACTGGGGATGAGAATAAACATAGAATTAACTCATCAGAGTCCGATAGCGTTCTTCCTGACCGCAGTGAATCGGGTATGTCTTCTGACTACGAAATCATCACTCCAACCTCTTCGTTTCCATTTACAAATTCGATAGCAGTCAGTGAAACATTACTTCCCTCTGCTTTTGACATCCAGGATTCATCGACGTCATTGATGCCAGTAAGCATTATTGATACGTTTACTGAGAGTCTCCCCGATTCAACATTCAGTGGTAGTACTCAAAGAGCAGTTTCCTCTTCTGACAGTGGAGACATCCTCCACGCATCAGCAGACCCAGATGTTCAACACAGTGTGTCTCCGGTTCTGACAGATCTCATAACAACACGCAGTCTCCCTGGAACTCACGACCTCACTCTGGATGCTTCATTGTCTGTGGGATTAAGCGTTTACCCAACCTCATCAGATTTATTCGATTTGTCGGAGCAATCTGACATGGATACATCGTCCTCAATACTGACAACTACCCCTTCTCTTCCCTTCGTATATTCTGTTACCGTTTCAACATCGCAGTATGAGCCGTCTTTCCTTCCCTCGTCTGTTTCTCGTGTACATGAAACTGAACCTACAGCAATGACTTCTGTTACACAAGATGGCTTACCACCGCCGTTTACAGGGACAACGAAGAGTGATGTAAAGATTGAAGACAGCGACAGCAGCGAAACCAATGACTCTGAATCGACACCCACAACTCAATCGGGTTCCTCGACGAGGAACAGAGTTGACCTTGAATCTCAACCTTCTCAGAGCTCAACCCAGCCTACACTCAACCAAGCCACTTTGCCCACATCGTTACTCGAGGAAGAAGAGATATTCAATGCCACAGATGACGGTGGTGGGGGACTTATTATGAGTCCGAATCTCCAAAGTTCAAACAACGCCCCACCTCTTCCAACGCGAAGACCTGCAACGACTTCAACGTCGGAGCTATCAAATAATTTTACTGGAAACGCCCTCCCAGACGAGCGTTCAGATAGACCGTACACAGAGGAAGAGACGGACGTCACAGTCCCTGCAGTATTCGGTGACGTGTCAGAACTAGATGATGGGGATTCTCCTTCGGGGAACTCACAGGATGGGGCTGGGGAGACAGCGGACGAAGAAGAGGAGACTGGCCCGGCTGTTGCCCCTGACATCAGTGATAAAACATCAACACAAAGCATGACAACAGGTTAGAGCTCTATTAAGAGCTGTTTTTGTATATCTGTATTGAGACGTTTTAGCACAGTTTAACCAAATCATGCTAAATCTACCTTTCATAAATAGCTTCTCTCCAAAGTAGATTTCTGATGTCACTTTGAACTTCTGTGCGTGGTTCTTATCGTTAATATTATTTTCTGTTTGCTTGTCTGGTACAAAAAGGTTATAAGTTGAACTTCTATTTTTAACCTCTTTGGTGTGGTATGGTATGGTGTGGGATTACCGCCCCTTTCAACTCAGTACAGTCATCTGGAAGGCAGCTTTGCTTATTCATTGTTTGTTCAAAAGTGAGTGTCAGCTTTCGAACATTTTCCTATTATCTGTAAACAGAGAAGTAAGCAATTCATTGCGATAAAATATAACCGTAGTTTTGATTTTAACCTACTAACCAATCGTTGCTGACAGCGTTGAATGAAAGTCAAAGATAACCTGGCATGACTATTAAAAAAGGTTAAAGGGAAATGTTCATATTATGTAATTAATTTAGCTTCTCTATCACAATATTTGACATACTTTTACTGATTCCGATGCCATAGAATAAATATCAAATCAACAGCTTTAATGACTTTCAGATTGCAGTTTGTTGACTTCCTCTCTAAAATTGTAGCTTATTGTATTTTGCATTGTAAAGTATTGTTTTTCTTACTCAATTTGTAGCTTATCGGCGGTTTCCCTCAAATTGTAGCTTACTGGCTTTCTTACTCAAATTGTAACTTATATGCCTTCTCACACAGATATTAGCTTTCTGGCTTACTTACTCAAAGTCTCATTTATTGACCTTCTTGCTTCAATTGTAACATATTTGATAGTCTCCATAAAATAGTAGATTATTGACATTCTCAATCGAACAGCTCCAGGAGAGCCTCAAGTCCCTGTCGATGACCAGAGCCGGATGGGTGAACAAGGGGGTAGCAGTCTCCGCACCACTAAGGCTCCAACACCAGCTACTCCGGACATACCTATTTCCTTCGTGGAGCTCAAGCTGAGTATGTCCTGGCCGGACTTCTGCGACAGCGAGGTCAACATCTGGGAGGAGTTGCTGGAGATCGTGAATGACCAAGGTGGACAGAGAGACGTCACAGTTGACCAGGTTATTTGGATTATTCTTTTTTTGTCTCTTATTCATTGCTGAATTTAAAAAGTGGGGCTGAGTTAATTACACTATAAAGTACAAATAAGTCATTTCGAATTTGAGCGTTTGGTTCAATGAGAAGAGTTAACAAAAATTAGAAAAGACAGGCACAAAACCAGGAGGCTACTCTTACGATATCGTAAATTAATAACATTATATGCAGTTGAACACAAGTATTCAAATACCCTCTTGCACCATAAATCATAAAAGGGACTGTACCTCCTCCTACGTGCGTTGGCTTTACCATGCACTCCCAGACCATCGTACCCTTCTAACACAACAGGTGGGGTGGGATGAGGCAATAACCTATTTTTGACAGTTTTGCCTTTTAATCTTTCCATGAGAGTTCCTGACTTTTAAGATAGCATACTTTTAACATGATATTGACATCTTAAGGACTTCGAGGGGAGCTGTAAAAGACTTCTAGGAAACAGGTAACACCCAGTGCACAATGCAGAACGTTTCGTCAAGTCCCATTTTGATATGTTTTTTTTGTTTGAAAACACAAAACCGCCCCCTTTTTCCCTCCCTGGGGGGGGGGGGGGGGGGGGGGGCTAACGCTATCATTTTGAGCACAATGTTATCAAATCCTCCGAAATCAAATGTTTAATATTCGAAGTCTTGATCGAGTTTAGTTTTATGAAATCGTAGCCAACGGCCATCAGAAGGATGCTCTGAATTGCAGGGTCGTAGTCTTCGCGTGGAATGTGATGGGCTTAATGAAATTCCGGGTCAAATTTTATGAAACAGAGCAGAGGTCAATTCGATACAGTGCGCAATGGCCCCAACTCGATCCGAACTGGTCAAGCCATAATATGATAAATAAACATCCGTTTTAACTGTTAGAAGTTGATCGACTCACATCCTCAAAGATTTCAAAGATAATTTCTAATTTTGGAAGTCTCATATGATCTGCGGCATCCGTTAGGAGCTAGGCTCTCCCATATGAAATATTAATGCTTAAGTCCTTCAAAGACATATTCAGGGTATTTTGTTTTTTGGTGCACCTACGTTACACTTCCCTGGGAATAGCTCAGAATATAATACTGACTTTTGATTTCTGAATTGAGACATTCATACATGGCCTGCCCAGGGAAGCTAAGTCCTTTTGAGCTTAGAAAGCAGACTCTCGATATTTACTGGGCAAACCAAATGTTGTTAAGATGCATTATGTTCTTCCCAGGTTACCGCTTATGTTTTACTTCCTTCATTCGTCCAGATTCAGATGCTAAACAGACAGGAGGAAGAGTGCGTGCGTGTGGACATAATCGAAAGTGAAGAGATTTTTGTCCGGATGTACCTGACAAACAAGAGCCACCACTATGACAGAGGACTCACCATTGTTTGTGCCCAGGTTCTAGAGGCTGGGCCACAGCTTGGAGAAACATCCATTATTAGGAACAAGGTAGACTGGTGTAAATATGGGATATTTGTTCGTATTAAAAACGAATCTTTCTTGTCCACATTTTACTGGACTTAATGGTTATAGATTAGTACACTATGTAACGTGGAGACTGCTAACAGAAAGAAACTTAATCAACGAAGTGAAACAAAAAGTGTGCAGAAATTCTTAAAGTCAGTACTTTTAATAATTTTACCCAAAAAAAACTTGATCTCTGTTTTATAATTTTTAAACAAAATTGCAAACTATTATCTGCATTGGAAACACAATGTGTATTGTCCATATCTACGCCCATTTTGGGGCATTTAGAGCTGATTATTCTTTTTTTTCATGAAATATAATTTAATTGTTGATTCACATTATAATGTTATAGTAACATACATAAGATAAATAAGCCGGTGTTTGCAATTTACCTTTGCTAGGTTTTGTCCATTTTAACCATTCCTTTTGAAATTTGTGCACGTTAGAACCTGTTGGACCTTCTGATTGTATATTGTTTCTTATTCCCTATGCCCCAATTTCCAACCCTGAAAGAATACTTCTTGATTATTGATTTTTGGTATAGGGAGTTTCCAAAGCTTTCCGATGCCGGTTATTTATATCGTAGATAAACGTTAAAAACGTCATCAGTTAAGTAACCGAACATCGTAATTATTTCTGTTCATAAAGAACGTGAAAAAAAACCGGTGCATTTTGTTCATGGACAGGTGTTGACCTCCACTCTTTTAAAGCTACACTTTTCCTGATCTGTTTTCGGGTTGTTGTTTTTTCCAACCCTGTGGCTGTCATCATGTCGGCCCGTTGCAACATTCTCAACCGTCACAGTCAACTCCACTACCACCACCATCAACAGCAATAAAAATAACAACGTTATCATCATCAAAAATAATAACATCATTATCAACAACAACAACAACAACAACAACAACAACAACAACAACAGTAACAATAGTAATAACAACAGTAGCAGCAGCAGCAATAACAACAACAACAACAACAACAACAACAGTAACAATAGTAATAACAACAGTAGCAGCAGCAGCAATAACAACAACAACAACAACAACAACAACAGTAACAATAGTAATAACAA